CTTTAGTAGCCATTTCTGATTTTCGGAATAGCTCCTTTAGCGCTATGCTCTAGTCGGGTAACTCTGATATCGATTTGAGTTATTTTGTCATCAATCTTGGTGAGCTTTTCCAATATAATTTTTAATGTAATATCAGTTTCTTTTTCTTGTTCCGATGATGCATGTCTCCTTGCATTCTTTGTTACATCGCTGTAACTTCTATTTTCACTGACCTCTGCCGTTTTTAGTTTTTTGCTTTCAATAACTCTATGGGGTGCTTTTATAACATTGTTTTTGTTTGTTCTCTCGTTTCTTATTGTTTGTAATTTTTTAGCTACATAACATCCGCGGTAGTTTGCAGGATGGTTTTCTCCACAATGAACACATTTTGGTTTATCTTCTGGTGGTTTTTGGCAATCTTTAGTAAGGTGTTTACCAATACATTTTACACATCTTGGCTCCTTTTTACAGTATTTCCACGTATGTCCATAAGCCTGGCATCTTTTACATTGTGGGACTAATCTGGAACTCCTTAATGGCTCGATTTCAACTCTCGTACTAAGTATGTCTGTTATGCCGTAAATTCTATTTATATCTTCATCTTGTCTAAATGTTAGGATGAACATATCTAGTGGTTTTTTAGTTTTCCATTTGAATTTCTTGTCAGCTTTAATGGCTTTATATTGTCGTTTTTGTAGGTCTTTTACTATTTCCTCTGGTGGCCATGTGTGATGTAATTTCTTAACAACAACTCTAATTGGTCTCTCTTGCTTATTTTCATAAGTGTGGTACGAAAGGTTACTCGTATTTAATGTGTCTATTAAAGCTCTGTAATGATCGCTATTGGCTGTATTAATTTTTATAACTTCACTGTTTATGATTTTCATAGTGAAGGTAATACCAGCCTCAGTTAGAAGCTTGCTCAGGTCAACAGCACTTTGAAAACCTTCTACTACAACCGGAGGTGGTGGTTTTGGTTTTTTGAATGGTTTTTCTATTTGTGTTTCTGCACTTGATTTTTGCGGAGAGGGAGGAGATAATGAGGTATCCATTTTACGTTTTTTGTTAGTTTTCCTGTTTTCGGTTCTTATCCAGCCCGTTTCATACGCTAAATCTTCTTCATCGGTACAGTATTCAAGTTTATCTGCTTTTAATTTCTTTTGTGATTCATCAGCACTTGCGGTTAACCCTGTATGTTGTTCGGCTTTTTCCAGCTGTGCTAATCTCTTTTCCATATCGGCGATTATTTGACTCAACCGTTGATTATCCATATTAAGTCTCTTAACATTTTCTTCCGACTGACACCATGCATTATAAAGCGACTGCTCATTTTGTGTACGTTGTGTATTTTCTGCGAACATCGCATTATTTTGTTGGACTAGTAGTGCGTCCATTTCGGTATGAATAGGAAACATTAAATATTTAAATATTTCGCTTACCTAAGTTAACTTGAATTTATCGCGATAGCTTACAGCCATGGCCATTGATATCACTCACGACTAATGATATCTTAATTACTACTTAATTACCACTGATTAGATAGCGGAGCTCTGAATACGTCTATATACTTGGACGGTCAAAGCCAGACTCCAGTTTATATATACGTAAAAATATGAAAAGAAATAGTACATACTTTCCCAAACAAGGTGTATACTATATTTTCTGGCATAGAATAAGTTTTTATTTCTTATTTTATGACTATATTTACTTTCCATTAAAAATATACTTTTTGAATTTTGGCGCCTAAAATTCAGAGCATATTTTTTGAACTTACCGCCTAAAATTCAGAACCTACGTTTTGAATTTGCCGCCAAATGAAATTAGTTTCGGCACGTACGTATTTGGCGCTAGAAACTCTCTCACAAAACTTTATATGGGAGTTACCTTACGGGGGGGTATATATACTCACATCACAATACATACCCACATAGTAGGGTAAGTGGATAAGAACGGGTGAGGAGAGTGATTTGCATGGGCCCATCCGTTCGTAATGGCGCCGGCGCTACTAATAACGTTAGGTGGGGGTTATAATATAGCGGGAGACGCATGTGCGTTGGCGAAATTTGATTTAGATTGGGACGCCATATTGCAAATTGAGTTTTGTGTTTTGTTATTATCATCTTAAATTGTAAATATTGTGTTTTACCATCGTTGAAACGGAACAAAATAGAATGAAAGATTACTAGAATAAACGATAAAACAGTATACATCAATTTTTATATATCTAATAAACACTGCTAAAGAAGAGGAAGGTACATTACCCAAATCAAAGAATATTTTTTGTTGATGGGTGAAAGTTAAAGTTGGACAAATGGCTATTAAACATTCTGAGGATTAGGAGTTTAGTTTTACAAGCACCAGGTAAGAACAACACCTAATTATACCAAACTTTTAGTAAATACAAACTTGATATTATTTTGTTTTTGTAGTTAAATCGCCTTTAAATCTTAACTAACATCAATCTTATATTTATCCAGTGATGAGTGCTTTACCACCCGGCTTTTTAACGTAAGAGATAGAAAACACAGTTACCTTGTGAAATAAAAAGAGATGAAACTCGTAGAGGTGTGAATAAATTAAGATATAGTAAAAAACATTAATTAGTAACGATTTTAAATTATAAATCTTTAAGTTTATTTAATGATAAAAATAACTAAACTGGAATATTTGACTAAACTAAAGGTAGGTATGTTCTGTCCGAAAACAATTATTGTATGTGGAGTTGGTTTAATGCTTAGACACGTGGTCTATTGACAAGAAGGTTGGGGTTCAATCATCGAGCAAAAAGACAAAAGAGGGAATGTAAAGGTAGTGGGGGCAAAAATATTGTTAGACAGAAAGTGCTCTCCCTTTTTTGACATCAAATTTAGTTGGGTTATTTGTCCCAAATGTCACATGAAATCTTACTTATATTGAAGTTTTTTAACAGTTGTGTCGCATTTCAGACTATTATCGTTAATAATTTATTAAAACTTTCTCGTCTAAGACACATTCTGAAAAATATTATATAGCTACTGTTGATAAGTGTCGGAAAATTTAAATTTGGCCACTTATTTGGTCTCCTTTTCATAAGGATTAGATTCCCTCTTTTATACTCGGTTCGCTATTCCCAGTCCGAACTGTCTAGTGAATTCATGATACTAAGACTTGCAAGATAAACCCACTTCGCAATCGAATTTTGTACATCGACGCGCATGACGTCAATTGGTGATAAAAGTCACTTTTATCACCAACCTTTTATCATCACAGTCGGTAAAACATATATGGAAAGAAAGGGGTTTTTATTTAAATATTTAGAATATTAAGGGATGTTAGGTAAAATATCTGCAATTAAATCTTAAAAATATGTTATATATATATCTCTGTTAGCCTAACAATGTAAACTAAAATTATATAAAAAAAGTAAGAACTAAACATCCTTTTGCAAATGGAAATTTATATACAATGGATTGATTTATTAAAATAAAAATTTAATAAAACTGATAAAATAAAATACACTGTAATAATTTACAAGTTTATTTAACAATTTATTTTACAATTTTTAATATTTTCTTCTTCTTAACTTTGGATATTTCTTTAATATATCTATTCAATTTTCTAATTTTAAAATATAATTTACACCTTTACTAACATTACATCTGAACACAGCTAAATCCATCAGCGATTTTAAATGATTCTTGGTTAATTTTAATGACCCTTTGTTAAACTTGTTAAAAATATGGTCCAGTTCATTACATTTAATTAGAAAATCTGGATATGGTTTAAGTAAACCTCCTTCGGAAAGATGGTTTACCCAGTAAACCGATGTCAACGTACAAGATAAACGATAAAACAAAACTAAATCACAAGGTTAGTAGATATTTAAGTAGATACTTAAATATCTACTAACCTTGACTAAATCTGACAAAACTCCATACAACACAGAACATTTCTGGTGACATTTGTCGCCAAGTGACGTCACACGACTGATCGCGTGCGCGTGGGTTTATCTGTAGTTTATAGTATCATGTAGTGAATTAAGTAATTATTTTTTTGCGAAGTTAGTTACTTTTTGACAGACTAAAAGTGGCTGGAAATGACTATACAACCAAGCACACGTACTTATAGCCAATATTAATAGTAAACAAACTAAATAGTAAATAAAATAGAACTTTGCGAATTACAGACAATCAATATTTATTTATCTGCACCATATAATAAATCGTTATGTTAAATTATAACAACTAAAATATATGTTTTAAATATAATGCTACCCAAAATTTGGTGAGTTTAGTATACATTTCCACTATTTAGAATAATTCTTCTTTTTTCAAAGGAAGAAGTCTGCAATAGTAGTATACTTGAGCTATTATTACTGAGAAGTAGAAATTGTTGTGTTGTAGGCATCGAGCAATAAGACAAAAGAGGGAATGTAAAGGTAGTGGGGGTAAACATATTGATAGACAGGAAGTGCCATCTTGAGAGGCCACTTTAGACAAGGATAGACAGTCTCTTTCCTTGTTTAAGAAGTCAAATTTAGTTAGGTTATGTTATTGTTTGTCCCAACTGTCACATGAAATTTTATTTATATTGAAATCTTTTACCAATTGTGTCACTTTTTAGACTATTATAGTTAATATTTAATTAAAACTTTCTCGTCTGAAAAATATTTTATAGCTATTGTTAATAAGTGTTGGAAAATTTAAATTTAGCGCCTTTGCATTTCCGGATATGTCCGCCATCAGAGGCCACTTTTTTGGTCTCCTTTTCATAACGATTAGATTCCCTCTTTTATCTTTTTGCTCGATGGTTGTAGGTTTCCGACAATGAATCTGTCAAAATATGCCCGAGCTAAGCGAATGGAGTATATCTTTTTGCTCGATGGTGCGAGCTCAGCTGATTATCTGTCAAAAAAGCGCCTTCCAGTTTGTTGACAACGGTACATCGCCAATAATACTATATTCTGTAATCTGTAGCTTATTGTTATTTTTCTATGATCTGTAGCTAAATGGTAGCTAACCAAAATCAAGTGTGAATATCAAATGGAAGTAAAACAAGAAATTAGCGAGGAAACGTGTAAAGTAGAAATCGAGCATAACGAATTGGAAGATGCTCTTTTGGATGGCTTTAAACGTGAAATTCATAAAGAAGCCAATAGGCAAAGTACACTTGACACATATGATTCTTTATCTTTAGACTTAAAGAAATTTCCCATAAATGCTGAAATAGAACAACATGGAAATAAAATTAACCAATTTGAAGAATACCAAAAAACTGAAAAAGGTTAGTAACAATATATTTAAGTCCGCCCATATTAATTGTTTAGAAGTATAAATTGGAATAACTTTTTTACCAGCTAATATAATTTTGATATTAAATAAAATTTAAGGCCATATAAGAGACAATTACATGATATTTTATTACTTAATAAAGTAAATAGGGGCATTTCGCAATTGCGGGCACTCTAACCTAACCAAATATATTTTCCTCAAGGCACTGCGTCACAGTGTTGCCGTATTTATTTTAGTAAAATATGTATATGAATGCTACAAATATAAATTTACTTTTACGAAATAATAATTTGTGTTATGAGAAGCTACAAATTTTAAACAAGTATAAAACTTGCCGTATTTTTTTTGTAAAATGTATATGAAGGTTTAAAATATAAGTTACTTTTACGAAATTATAATTTGTATTATGAGAAGCTACAAGATTTAAATAAGTATAAAACAAATATTTTCTTTGTTTATAAAACCAATTTCTTATAAAAAAAAGTTTGTTTCTTATAAAACAAATATTTTGTAAAATCTTTGAATTTTTATATAATTTCAATGCATTTCTATTATATACGGTAATTTAATTATTACTATTAATTTTTTATATAATTTTAATCAATTTTATTGTATATGCATTTGATTATTATCTTTAATTTAACTAAAATCTATACTATTAATTTTTTATATATCACTTTAATCAACATTTGTATAATATTATGTGAGAGTATGAAAAAACTGGAGACTTGGCAACTCTGACACCATTTAAGTGAACGTTAAATGTCATATAAATGCTTGGTTAGGTTAGAGTGCCCGCAATTGAGAAATGCCCGTAAATAGGAACCACAGAAAAAGACAAATTGGATTTATATTATTTGTGCCAAACTTAGACAACTGTGATACAGTGAAGTAGGGACAAACATACATGAGTGGTATGATGACATTTCCAATCAATTGTATGGTTTATGCACTTTGATGACTAGGATACACATCATTCACAAACAGCTAATGTTAAAGCTGTACCAATATATTTATGAAGCATTTATAGTGATTCGTATTTTAAGTTATCTACAAGATGAAAACAAAATGGAAATTAAGGAGACCCTAGTTGAAGATTCATCATACAAAGGAAATTATACAAGTCATCACTCTGAAGAAAAAACATCAAATAAAAAAAATGTGAAATTTGTTCATACAGTTTTCTTACAAAAGTTATTTAAAAAGACATTTTAGAGTGCACACTGGAGAAAAATCTCACAAGTGTGAAATTTGTTTTAATCAATATAGTCAAGTAGGTAACTTGAAAATGCATTTGATAGTGCCCACTGGAGAAAAATATGATTGTTGCAGTTTCGCAAGAATATATAAACATTCATATAATATTAACCTTTTTACTGCGGCTAGTTATAGAAGTAGTATGGTTTCTGGTACAGCTGTTTCATGCCTGTGCTGATCAACACTATTATAAGTATAGCGTGTTTATTTTCAAACCTTATGCTTTGCACATATACAACACAGTGTGTACTTGGTGGTCTTTTAATTTCTTCGGTGGCCTGATACTTTGTGGGAAAATGGCTCTTAATAAGGCGTAATGGTGAATGGGCATCTTCCGGTTTATTTTTTTATGTTCAGCAATAATTTCTTTAACAAGTGTTAATTGAAAATCTGCAAGTAGAATATTCTTTCCACTGATAATATTATAATATGAGCATTTAACAAACTTAAGTCCAACAAAAGAAAAAATAACTTTATACCACTTTATTGACTTTCTAACAGATTCAGTGCTACTGAGAAGCATGTCGGTTTTATCTACAGTCCCCATATTACAATTATAATCAAGTACACATTCTAGTTTCTGGATAAAAAACATTGTCCTTAGTTTTTTTCCACTATCTTTCATGTTGCTGGAGAGAAGTGTAGTAAACATTGTTACTGGACATCTATCTAACCACTTCAGCGCCTGCATATCTGTAGTCTTGTAGCCAACTACTTGACCTTTACGTAGGTTTTTTCATCGTGGGCATATGTTGTCTATTTGATTTTACTGTTCCACACACATTCGTTTTATCTTTATATAGATTATAAAAAGAAGGGTTCTAGTACCGTATATACAATATTCTTAGAAATTTTTAGGTCTTTTTCGAAGATTTTAATGTCAATTTAGACCCAGTATAAATGATAAAGTTGTCTGTCATGTAACCTGTCTCACCGTCACATAAAACATAGAATTTAATTCCAAATCTGTGCCTTTTAGAGGATATATATATATATATATATATATATATATATATATATATATATATATATTATATATATATATATATATATATATATATATATATTGTACAATATTAATTTATTTGTCTATAATCTAATTTATTAAAACTCACGATAGCTAATTACTAATTTATTAAATAACTTTTACAAATGTATTTATTTCACGTTTCGTACAAGTAAACCGCGTTTACCGATCTTCTTATGACTGGTTCCTCCATGAAAGTATTCCCTTATTTATATAATTCCAAGCCGGTAAACAGAAAGGTGTAGAACATACCATGCTGTTCTCGATGTAGACACAGCGGCGACTGGTCTCAAAACATGTTTTTTTTTATCGGCTTGTCGCCCCCAGAACATTCGATTCAGGTAGATTTTTGACCTAGAAATTACGAGAATCAATAAAAGAATTAGTCATAAAATATTTACAGTTCTATATGCCATAACATTTAAAATCGTAACATTGCCCCCCTCTTAAAAGATGGTTCCTCCTGGAACCTTGTCGGGACTGGAACTGGAACGACATGCTGATATCGGCAACTGGACCCTCTTTTACAACTTCCAGTTGTATAGAAATGACAAGGGACGGTTTTCTCTCCGCACCAGTAACTATGCGGATTGCAACAGACTAACACCTGGACTTCGGTGTCTTTAAAGATTTCCTCCACCATGTTTCGTATAACCCTCCAATCTAATTGGCGGCACTCCAACTTTGGCATGGCTAACTTTTGCACGTCGGACTCTAGTACGTGCTCTCTCAACTGAAGTAAGGCTTCCCATACATCTCGGTAGGTAGGTTGATCACGGGCAGTGTCTTTTGTTACCAGGTAGAAAAGGTAACGTGATGCATCTTGAAGTTTTAAGGCTTTTCCAGGAGCTGGCACTTGGCATTGAAGTTCTGCAACTCGACCGAACTTCCTTCGAAAGACGGATGCCAACCCTGGTGCGTCTTTGATACTGGCCGGGATGGTAAGGGCCAGTGAGTAGTCATCGGGAAGCGCGAGTAGATCTTGCTTTTCTTCAGTGGTAACACCATGTCTTGCTTTACCGGTACCTCCATAGGCACCCATGAATTCCTTAAACGTGAGGTCAGACACATCTTGGACTTGGTTTACTTCCACTTCTTCATCTACGTCGTGGTCACCTTCGAAAGACGCCAGCCGGTTATGGTGTACTATCATCGGCTTTCCCCTCGGAATCTTGCTTATTCGGTAAATAACATCATTGATCTTCTCCATAATGAGGTATGGACCTTCCCAAAACTGCTGCAATTTGGGAGAACAACCTTTTCGCTTTTTGGGGTTATAAAGCCAGACTTTATCGTTCTTCTTAAAACACCCCTTTTCGGCTTGCGTATCGTACCGTTTCTTCATTCGGTCACTAGCGATCTGGAGATGGGAACGGACCAACTCGTGAACATTGTCCATTCTTCTTCGTAATTCGATCACATAATCTTCACCTGCTACATCTTCTCCAGGTCGACACCCAAACTCTAGATCACAAGGTAGTCGCATCTCGCGTCCGAATAGGACTTTGGCTGGTGTCTGGCCTGTTGATTCATTAACAGCAGATCTGTAGGCCATTGTGAAAAACGGGAGATATTGGTCCCAGTCTCGCTGATGATCGGACACCATCTTTGTCAAATACTTGCCAACTGTTCTATTCATTCGTTCTACCATACCATCCGATTGCGGATGATAAGCCGTAGTCCTTGTTTTCTTCATACCTAGTCTATCACATATTCCTTGGAATAAATCGCTTTCGAAGTTCCTGCCTTGGTCACTATGGATCTCCAAAGGCACTCCAAATCGGCTGATATATTCTTGGATCAACTTATCTGCAACGGTGGCCGCCTTCTGGTCTGGAAGTGCGTAAATCTCGACCCACTTAGTGAAGTAATCCATTACTACCAACATGTACTTGCCTCCATTATCACTTTCTGGAAACGGCCCAGCAATGTCCAAAGCTATTCTTTCAAACGGGCTTCCAACATTATATTGTCTCATAGGAGCTCTCCTTTTTCGATAAGGCCCGTTACTCGTAGCACAAATAGTACATTTCTTACACCAGTCTTTTACATCGTCGGAACTGTTCATCCAATAAAACCGTTCCCGAATTCGCTGAAGGGTCTTCTTCACACCAAAATGCCCTCCTGATGGACTGTCGTGTAACTGACGAAGTACTTCGGCTATTCTGCTCTTTGGAATCACCAACTGTCTTCTCTTCTCTGAACCGTCATCATTTTCCAGGACTCGTTTGAGCAAGCCATCTTCCATGATAAATGAGTCCCACTGGGCCCAATACGTCTTCACTACTGAGCCTAGGTTCGATATTTCTTGCCAAGGTGGTCGACGGTTTTCCTCTTTCCATTTTCGGATTTTCTGTATAACTGAATCTCTCTCTTGTTCTTCCCTGATCTTGGTAGGCGTCCAGTCGTCGTGGACCACCGTCGTTCTTAGCACTGCTGCTTCCTTGGATTCCGTTTTGTTGCAGTGAGAACACTCTGCTGGGCATGGCCTTCTGGAAAGAGAATCAGCGTTTCGGTGGCTAACTCCGGCCCGGTGCTCAATCTTAAAATCATATTCTTGGAGTCGTTCGATCCACCTGGCTATCTGACCCTCTGGATTCTTAAACTGCATCAACCACTTAAGGGCGGCATGGTCGGTTCGGATTAAAAACTTCCTTCCATAGAGGTATTGATAGAAGTGCTCTACTGATTTCACTACTGCCAGAAGTTCTCT